TTTCAGCTAGCCTGACTGGTGCTCCTGTTGAGGCTCTGGTTGATGGATGGTTTACTGCCACCACCAGGGCTGTAGACACGATCGCTCCTAAACGCCCTCTCCAGTGCAGAGCTCAGCCTGCGTCCTGGTTTAACTAGGACCTGAGAGTGATGAAGCAAAGTAGGAGAAGGCTAGAGTGCAAGTGGAGAAGAGACCTGACGGTTCAGGGTCGGGACTAACCTTTACCTTCCTAAGGTAAAGGCTGCTAGGCGAGCACACTATGCTGACCAGATAAGCAAAGCTTCAAATCAGCAGGCAGAGCTTTTCCGCATAGTTCGTGACCTATCCAGAATTGGTCTAGGTGATGGGCCTCCCCCTAGTATCTCACCAGACCAATTTGCAGGATTTTAAAAATCTAAAGTGGAGGCTATCTGCCGGGAACTTTCTCCTTTTTTGAATACAGTGAGTCGAGCAGAGATGTCCAATGCTCTGCCTTGCCCAGTGAGAATTGATCATTTTCAGCCGGTGACACCAGAGATTGTGGAAAAGGCACTTGATCGCTGTCGTGCCACCACCTCATCTCTTGACCCTGGCCTGGCCTGGCTAACCAAAGCAGCCAGGCCTATAACAACAGAATAGGCAACGGCGATAATTAATGGGTCCTTCCTTAAGGGCAGGTTTCCCCTTGCCCTCAAGGAGACGCTCATTAGGCCCATAAGAAAGAAACTAAATTTGGCGGCGAACAATATTGGCAATTACAGGCCTGTGAGGCTCCCAAGGTGGAAGCCATGGTTGGAGTGCCGCTGCTCTCGAAGAATAGCAGCCAGACCCAGACTTCCCCCCCACCATCCCCACCGCGACGGGAGGAGAAAGGAGTGGAAACTCCTGATTGGGGGGCAGAATGCGGCGGAACCCTCACCCTAAGCAAGGGGGTAGATACCCAGGACCTAGAAGAGGACATGAAGGGGTTAAAAATTGCCCGCGAAACGGGACGGTTTCAGGCGGGAAAGAGAGGGGAGGAGATAGAAGCTGGGATGGGGGATATAAGGGGAAGACCGGAGGATATTCCAGGCGGTTGGGAGTGGGTGTGGATGGAGGACCCCTGGACCCACAAATGGGAACAAGTCCGAGTACCCCATGAGGAGGCAGAGAGACGCCGTCAACTGGGGTTGAAACCACGTCCGTCTTACTGGGGTGAGACGGAGGCGAAAGAGTGGCGCAGGAAACTACGGGAGGAGAGAGAGGCGGTTGCCAGAGAGTTAGAACGTAAGCGTCAATGGCACATCGCCGAGTTGAGGAAGCTGGGGGGTTACCCGGCCCCTGGGGCTTCACGGTAGAAGACGGTTCCTCTTGGGACGGCTGGAGTGGAGATGAGGAGACCCTACCCCTGATAACCCTGGAAGAAGAGGTGAACCCTGGAACAGGGACTGTGCCGATGTCAACAGGACCCTGGAACCCAGAGAACTCTAACCCATTTGTACATAGTTTGTGGACTCCTCCTAAATCAAACCTTGGACTCCAAACGTCCCTAAACCCTTTTATGGGTATAGTTTCTGATGATGTTAAAGTAGAAATAAATACATTACCGTTTGACTTTCCGCAAGAGTCTCGCCCGTTTATTGAAGAAAGGACAGCCCACACACACGAACCCTCACAAGGCCCATTGCCAATGTTTCTTTCATTAGCAAAGTGGTGGAGAGGGTGGTGGCTGACCAACTTCAGGTGCACTTGGATGAAACAAATGCCCTGGATCCATTCCATTCGGGCTTCAGGCCACGTCATGGTACAGAAACGGCATTGGTCACCCTGTTAGATGACCTATTGAGGGAGGCCGACAGAAAAACTTCTCTGCTGGTCCTCTTTGATATCTCAGCTGCCTTTGATACCGTTGACCACGGTATCCTCCTGAGGAGGCTCTCCAAGTTGGGAATTGGTGGCCTGGTGTTTGCTTGGCTTCAATCCTTCCTGGAGGACCGCCCCCAGAGAGTACAGCTTGGGGAGAGGGTTTTGGCCCCATGGAGCCTCAATTGTGGGGTCTCGCAGGACTCGATCATCTCCCCAATGCTGTTTAATATCTATATGAGGCCGCTGGGAGGGGCCATCAGGGGATGTGGGGCATCGTGCCATCAGTATGCTGATGACACACAGCTATACATCTCCTTTTCTCCAACTACAGTGGATGCCATTCTGTCCCTTCAGTGCTGCTTGGACACTGTTCTGCAATGGATGCAGGGAAATGGGTTGAGGCTGACCCTGGACAAGATGGAGGTACTGAGGGTGGGCGCCCCCACCATCAGCAATTTGGGAAATTCCCTCTCATTTGGGGGGGTGACTCACCGCAAAGAGTGAGGTGCATAGCTTGGGGATACATCTGCACCCAGTGCTCACAATGGAAACCCAGGTGGCGTCAGTGGCCCGCTCTGCCTACTTCCACCTTTGGCGGATTGCCCAGCTGCGTCCCTATCTTGATGCTGGGGTGCTCACCACTTTTAGTGCATGCGCTTGTAATCTCAAGATTAGACCACTGTAATGCACTCTACATGGGGCTACCTTTGAGACTGATGTGGAAACTTCAAATGGTGCAGAATGTGGCGGCCAGACTTCTTAGTGGGGTGAGAAAACACCATCTCTCTCCTACTCTGGCCGCATTGCACTGGCTGCTTGTGCACTTCTGCATCGATTTCAGTTTTTTCCCTTTTTCTTCTTATTTTTTCTTTTCCCCCCTCTTTTCCCATCTTGAATAATTTTTCTATTGATGTTTTAAAATGTTGTTATATTTTATATGTTGTTATATATGTTCTAAGCCGCCTAGAGTGATCATTCGACTAGATAGGCGGGAATAAATGCAATAAATAAATACAAAGCCCTCAACAGTTTAGGACCTCACTATCTGACGGAATGTCTCCTCCCACCAAAATCTACCCGTATCACTCAATCTAGTCAGGGAAACTGAGAAGCCTAATGCCAAGAGAGGCCCGGAAGGAAAAAACAAGAAACCGGGCCTTCTAGGCAGTGGCTCCTCGGTTATGGAATAATCTACCTACAGAGATCCATATGGTCCCTTCGCTGGGTATTTTTAAAAGCCAATTAAGGACCTGGTTATTCAGGCAGTCCATCCCTCCGGGCACTATTTGATCTATTTCCTTTGTTTTTTCCATCTTGAATGATTAATTATTTTTGGATATTGATGTTATTTTAATCTGTTTATTTTGTTTCATGTATGCTGCCCAGAGCAGTTGAATAACTCGATGGGTGAGATATAAATATAATAAATAAATAAATTCCTGTGTAAGGAATGGAAAAAAGTCTTCTCGCTCAGTGGGACGTCCCCATTCCCTCCCATTCCACGGCATGCTGCAAGATGGTCAACATTGTGGTTAGTGAGGCAGGCTTACATTCGGGGCTCACCTACACATTATTTATTTATTTATTTATTTATTCAATTTATATGCCGCCCAAACTACCCAGAGGTCTCTGGGCGGCTTACAATAATTAAAATTCAATACAGCAAACAGGCAAGCACTCCTGCTCCTAGACTGCAAGAAAGTACAGTATTGGGAGCCAGGATGTTGCTGAAGAGACATGCTAGCAACCATTCCTTCTCCCTCGAAATGTTGCTTCCATCCAGGATTCTAAAGCCTGTTTCAAGATCTTCATAGGTAGACTCTGCGCCAGTGCATTCATACAAGTGAGTATGTGTCCCTCCCTTTTAGATTAGGCATCCTTCAGTCTCGAGAGACTAAGGTAACATGCTCTGAATAGAGGACTTGGAACAGCATCTAGTGTGGCTGAGAAGGCCAATTCAAGAGTGACAATCCCTTCCACACTGAAGACAATACAATCTGTCCCCTGTCCAGCTACCTGATTTTGTTGGTTTTGGGAGTGCCTCTTTGCCTTGGCCTGCTGGACAAGAGTCTCTTCAAAATTTAAGAATAAGAAAAAGGCCAAAATAAAAGGTATCATCTTCTCTCGCATCTCAGTTTTAACAATCTAATTTTGGCTGTAAATTTCCCTTCATTCATGGTGACATTTGACAAACAGCAAGCCCTATTAATGAAAATAGTTTCTGTGGGCAAAGATGGACACTAGTTTGGGGAGGATCTTCTATAAAAATCATGTGGCTCCACAAGAATCCATGCTTCAGATCCATGTTTTTCTGCTACTGCAAGACCATGTGTTGAAGAACTAAAGATTTTATGTATTTAATCTGGGGCAACAGACGGGGCTTATAACTGGACAGTGACTTGGGCAGGATCCTACAAGAAAATCATGTGCATCCATGAGGATCTATGCCTCAGATCCATGTTTCTGCTCTACTACCATGTTATGCACCAAAGGACCCATGATTTCTGTGTTGTAATCTGTGGGTGCAGGACGGGATCTATGATCTGATGGTGGTTTACAGAGGATTCCATCTAAAAATCATAAGATATAATATGGATCTGTGATATGAATCAATATTTTTTGTCACTGCAAAGCCATGTGCCAAAGGATCCATGATTTCTGTGGTGCTGTCCATGGGCATGAGATCTATGATTTGAGGGTGGTTTGGCAGGGATGTCACATAAAAATCATATGAAATCATACGGATCCATTCTTGATTTCATGGATCCACCTTTTACCCACACCCCAAGGGAGAAGTGTATAATTAAACTACCAATTCCGGGATGTCATAAGATACAGCAAGTAAGATGGTGTAACTGCAGCTGAGTTACCAAATAGTGTACTCTATAGGCAACGAAGCACGGTTAGCGAAAGCAGCACTATTTGAGTTATTATTAAAGATAATGGAAACTTTCAATTGCCGGCTGTAAAAAGTATATAGGAGCAACCAAGAAGTCAGATCAACTGAACGATGATGAAAACCGGAACGACGTCTTGGCTCTTTACTGATCTTTCCCAGTTACATTCCCCCTCAGGGAAATGGAAAGACCCACCCTTTTTCTCTCCCGCCTTCCCCAGCTCTGGGCAAAAACTCGCCTGCCTCTTTAACACGGAAAGACCCTTGCCGTAAAGCGCAGCGGCGATGTCGCAAAAGGCACGTCGCCCCCCCCCCGGCCGTGAAGCGAAGGGAATCCCTCAGGCGGGCGAAGTTGAATGGAGGAGGGCGAGCGGGAGGGCACCGCCGGGGGGAGCCCAGAGGAGAGGGGCGTGCCTTTGCCCTCCGCCTCCGCCGGGCGCTCCTAGGAGGCGAAAGAGGTCCCCCCCCTCCCGGCAGAGCAGGAGCCATGCTCACCGCGGCCTGGCCGGCCAAAGGCAGCGCCTGCTGCGGCTGGGCGCTCCTGAGGAAAGCGAGCCCGGGGCGGTCCGTCAGAGCCGCGGTAGCAGCGGCGGTGGCAGGAGGCGCGAGGTGGGGC